CATCTTTTTTTTCTTGAGTTCCTGCATCTAAACTAAATTCTTTTTTAAAAATCTCTTTCCAGTTGCTTTGGAAATTATGAGATTCTTTATAAGAAGTATGAAGTGATCTTTCTAGTTGGTCTATCAGCTCATTTCTACGAACAATTATCTTCTGTAATCTAAAAAAAGTAAACAATTTTTTTCATCTTCAGAAACAAAAACTAAGAGTTGCGTCTTGGAGTTCATTCCTAAGAACAAAAAGCTTTTTTTTTTGTTTTTTTTTTCTAGAGATGGAAAGGAAAAAGTCAGCGGGGTGCTTTATTTCTTCCTTCCTACCAGGGATACCATTAGTTAATATACGTAATTGGAAAAGAATTCTAGATTATTCTGATTGAAGATGAGATATGGATAGAATCCAGAGAGAAGAAAGAGTTCGGTTTTAGAGGCTTGATCTACTTTGTAATTATGGATCGAACAAATCCCTAAATGCTTATTTATTCTGTCGTTCAGGTAGGGAGAACTCTTACCATTACCTAGGCTAAGACTAAGAGGATAGAGACAATGGACTTTTGCATAGTTCATCAAACTACAAAAGAAACGGGGTGTATACAAAACATGAGCACCTTTCGTCTAATTAAGAAATGGAACTTTTCAGCAATATTCTTAATGTTTGCACCAATGAGAAAAAGGAACTAGTTCAAATCATGGTGGCCATCAATCAATGTTTGTAACCAAATGTAGTAGTCTCATAAGATTAGTAGAGGCACAAACAAATTAATAAATTGGCCAAGATACTCATGTATATCAAAATATATGTCTTTATGTCTATGAGAACCATGCTAATTTCAAAGAGATCTTCTGCTTCATCCTTCGTTAGATTTTGTCACTGATCATTCCATATAAATGTCTAGTTCCTTAACAAGCAACCTTCTAGGGGCCCAATTGCCTTACATGAATTGACTCCACGATTCCTATAGCTTCAACTTCAGCCACTCCTGTTGCAACAGTTGACAGAAGGAAGTGGTATTGATCATCTACACCAAAAATGAATCTCTCCCTCTCGAACTGCAAACATTTGTTTAACCTTTTTGATCAAGAAGTAGACAACTTTTATCATTTTTAGTTCTCAATCTTTTTAATGTCTGCACAAGCTAACATTGTTTTTAGAGCTGATTTAAAAAACCACTCTTCATCTCCAGAAACAAAGACAACGATGAAGAGTCCGAAAAGGGTGATGACGAAGACAAGCACGGAAAGCAAGGAACTCGTCGATAGCGACGGTTCTTGTTTCAGTCCAAGAAGCTTATTTACTTTACCTTCTGATGGAGGTTCCTTCACCCTGGAATCTCTGCATTTTGATGGGGAAAGTTCTGACCAGGATCTCCTGCTGGATGTGAGGTCAAACAGCTCCTTTCCACAAGCAGAGCTCCTTCACCCAACCCTGAGTTTTGGTGCCCAACAGGCAAGCAATAGTAGTAGCTCGGTAAATTTTCGACTTATGCATCGCTGACAATTTCTGATAACCACCACAGTTCCATAACTTAAAAAGTATATTCTTTTTTTGCTTGGTGAAACTGGGAAAAGAAAATAGTCTCTGTGTGGTTTATGGTTGATTTCTCTTCTTTACCCTTGAATCACCCTTATAAACTTGCAGCTATAAGGGGGGATTTGGGTAGGCTTTTTTGTAAATGCTACAGTTGACTGTAATAGATAGCTCCCATCTCAGAAGTGATAAGTTTTAGATTTTTGTACATGGTAGTACATTTTTCACTTGCACAATAATGTTCAGTTTTTCTTCTGGCTTGGAATTGCACAACTTTTTTTTCAGGCATAACAATGATAAATCATATATTTGTTTGTTGAAGAATTGAAAAGCTGTAAGTTTATTCTACCTAATCAACTTAACTCTTGAGTCTCCTAGATTTGATTGTGTTGAAACATTGTAATATTATGTCTTCTTCGTATGATATCAATAAGCTTGTATTTCAACCAACCTGAGCTTAGTTCAACTGTTTAAGACATCTATCTTCGACTAAAAGGTCGTGAGTTCGAATTTTCACTCCCACATGTTGTACTAAAAATATACATATAAAAAATAAAAATAAGCTTATATGTTGTGTCATATCTAGATGTCCATGTAAGATGTAAGGGGAGTGTTGAAATATGAATATGAGTTGAGAAAGTTTCTAATTGCCTAAGAAGTTGAGGACTGAAAATAATATTTTGTCGGTACTTCTAAGCAATGCAAGTTATACCGTATCGGTTTTAGACCAGGCATGCCTTTTAGAGGTTTTTCTTGCTTGGTTGAAATATTGAAAAGTTACTAGTTTTCAACCTAAAATAGTTGGGTGGTAGAGTATGGAAGATACATAATTTTCTTTATATAGATGAAGAGGAGGGGGAGGAGATGCTTGTTTTATTTCCAACCTTTTATTTTCTCACATAGTATGAAGCCAAAGAAATATGTAGTTTAGGATAGAACATTTGAAAAAAAAAGTTGCATAGTAGAATTGAAGGAGGATTAAGAGAAGTTTGTGTTTGTGTTGTTATCGTGAGTTTTTAAAATGAGAAATAGTCGTCCTATTATCTTAGCATGTTTCGACTAGATAGATACCTTGCCTCACTACCAACGATGTCAGCATTCTAAAGCAAGCCAATTAGCCCAAGTGAGTTGTAGACTTTTAGCCTAATCAAGATGAGACTAAGAAGCCACTTAGCCCATGTGAGTCCCCGTGCTTGCAATCCACTTTAAGAAGTTGTCTAACTCAAGCACTTGAAACAAGTTCAAGGAGCTCAAAAGGACACGTCCCACAAGCACCAATAAATGGTTTTATGACAACTAGTTAGACTTGACAAGACGTGGCTAGTGCACAAAAAATGTAGTCAATAACATGTCGCTATACTACCTAGTGGGTCACTCTATCACACTAAGAAGAATTCTAATATGATTGTTCGCCCTATTAGCAATAATTTAAGAATGATGAGAGATCCATGAAGTAAAATAATACATCACTACATTAATGCTCAACATCCTCTATTTCTACGATCAAGGAATGTGACAATCATCAATTTGAATTGAACGGGTGGGTCGAATCCCCACCACACCATTGAATTAAAGGAAAAAAAACAAAGTAAGCTAACTCTAACTAGCCAAGGACATAGAGTTCTGGATTTTGGACTAGTTCTACAATGATCTTTGTTGGTCCAAATTTTGCCATCAACAACTTGCAAGAAGTATAACTAGTAAACTAGAAAAAAAGCACAGACAACACAAAACAGTTTCATAATAACTTATAAGCCATCAATGGCAATCCATACAAAAATTTACAAAAGTGAGAGAGGCAAAAGGATTTTCCTTTTTCTTTTCCCATGACAAAGAAATGGTCATCTCAAAAAATCCATACACCATAACCAGAAATCTTTTGATCCATGTTGGGTTCAATAAATTAACTACCAACAGCTGCTAATCAATGCCAGTGTTCTTTGTTCTGCACAACCTCCTCTCACTGCATCTGCTCAGACTTCTGGTGGCCACCACTCCGGCCGGGGAAACGTCATTCCCCGGCGCTGAACCACGTCCAAAATGCTGAGCTTCGACAAACTCTCGTCGTCGAATTCACTTTCTTCTCCTCCTTTGAGCATCTCTAGGATTTCCAAAAGAGTGATCACCATAGGATCTTCAGAGGTGTTGGCCTTCTTCCCTGCTGCATTGTTTTTCACACTCTCTTTCACTTCCTTCTCTGCAGATTTCTCTTTGTAATTGCAGTGAATTACGCCATTATCGCCATTGAAGACCTTCCCATCATCCATCCCTCCAGAGTTCTTGATACTCTCCTTCACTTTCTTCTCTGCCGATTTCTCTTTGTAATTGCAGAGAATGTCACCATTCTCGCCATTGGAGACCCTCCCATCATCCATTTCTTTTAACTTACATTTTCCACCGCAGTCTTCGTCGCCATTGTTACGACTCGCAGAACTGGCCGGCACAACCTTTGATCCTCCACCAAAATTCGTCGCATCAACCGGAAAATACGAGCTGGGACGCGAGGATTGTTCGGATAATTTCAACTTTTTCGATGAGGATTCACCCAATGAGACCTCCGATTCACGAAATCCAAAGTCCTCTTCAGAACCGGAAATCCGGCTTCTGCAAACACCAATAATTTCTACAGATTTTTCCCCTTCGCCAGTCTCCAATGTCGATTGAACTTCCGAGTACAACCCTACATCCGTATCCCTCCCCAAATCAACCGCCGTTCCATCGTCCATATATTCAGCGGTCAACTCTGCACCATCTTCACAACGAAGAACGGGAACATCCACGGCTACAGGTCGCTGCCCGTCGGAGCCGGTCGGCGGCAACTCTTCCGGCGGGGTCTGGAAGAGATGAGGAGTACTATCGTCTTTCTCTTCGAAGCTATCGGGGAGGGAAAGCATGAAAATCCCGGTGGACTCTATACGGAACGCTTCGGACTCGTCGGAGTCGGAGTCGGATTTCGGGTCGCCGGCGAAGGGGCGGCGGCGACGGAGGACATTCTCCGGTGAGTCGGGAAGAATGCGGTGGTGGGCGTGTGGGCCAGTGGGATCGTCATCGTATCCGTCCATTGAGTTGGAATCGGTCTGAGATTTTCGCTCCAAATTTAGGGTTTCGAATCTTTCGACTGAGCTTTATAATAAAATTAAATGTTTTTGTCTTTTGATATTTGTGCTATGTACAACTGAATATTATAATTTTATTGTGAAAATTAGTCATCAAGCCCGTCTAGCTCAGTTGGTAGAGCGCAAGGCTCTTAACCTTGTGGTCGTGGGTTCGAGCCCCACGGTGGGCGATTTTTTGCTTCTGTATATTTTTTTATTATTGTAAGTTTTTTGGTTTTTTCGTTATTTATTTAACTTTTTTTAGTCTTTTTGTTTTTTGTTATTTATTTACCTTTTTTTAATCTTTTTGTTATTTATTTATCTTTTTTGTAATCTTTTTTGTTCTTTTTGTTTTGTAATTTTTTTGCTTTTTTTTTTCTTTCTGTAATATTTTTTGTTTTTTGTTTTTGTTTTTATTTTTATTTTTTGTAATCTTTGTTATTTTTTGTTTTTTTACATTCTTGTAATATTTTTTATTTGTTATTTATTTAACTTTTTTTAATCTTTTGTTTTTTTATTTAACTTTCTTTAATCTTTTTGTTATTTATTTTTCTTTTTTTTTTGTAATCTTTTGCTTTTTTTCTTTCCGTAATATTTTTTGTTTTTTGTTTTTGTTTTTGTTTTTGTAATCTTTGTTATTTTTACTTTCTTTTCCTATTTTTTATTTTTTATTTTTCATTTTCTTGTAATCTTTCTTGTTTTTCATTTTTTTAAAAAATGGATAACTAATATTTTATTTAATAAAAAATTCCTTTGGATCTTTTTCCTCCCAATTTCATCTTTTACATACTATGTTGGAAATTATGGATTTGGCTGTTTTCTTCTTCGAGAGTTAGAATTAAAATTAATTCTTAATTAAATATTTTGCTAAGTAATTTTCTAATTAATGACTTAATTTTAAAATGATAAAATTTCATTTATATAGTCTAATCCTCCTCTCTATATTGGATGGGTAGAGAATATAGAATTTAGTACAGTTATATTATAGAGACAATAATAATATAAGGTGAGGCGGGTGGAAGAAAAAACTTTCACCATCCTTATCGAAATTTAAACGAATATTCTACATCCAAGGTCTCGAAGAGAAAATGGACATGTCTGATTGTGGTTGATTACTCTTTCTAATTAATATATATCTGAATTATTGTGTTTATGTTAACCAAAATAGTTAATACTTCAATAAAATTCAAAAATATGCAACAAAGGAAAAAAAACCATATCTAATTGTAATTATAATTTATTTGATTTTTAAAATATTCATAAAATAATAAATTTTCAATTTTAAAATTGACAGAAACAAATATTTATTAAAAAAAAATTTAAAAATTGTTGGAATCTAGTGTTAATTGTAATGAAAAAATCCAACAAAATCCAACTTAGATCCATTTTGATCTAAGTCAGTGAGTGAACACCGACAACTATTTAACCTTTATTATTTCAATAATAATATATTTTAGTTTTATGGCATTTCGTGGTATGAACTTATATCATTTTCATATATTTTTTACTTTAAACAACAAGGTTTCTTATATTTGCGTATGTTTTATGAAAGCTAAAAGGGTTTGGATGATTCTTTGTAATAATGACAATTATTATTATTATGATAGTAATAATCTAATATTCTTTATTTTGCAATTTCATACCTACTTTAAATGGACTATGAAAGAGCGATTAAAGCTTGAAACAGGAAAGAATAAATATTTTATTCATATTTAACAAATAAATTAAAAAAAAATAATCCAACGTTAAATATAAGAAGGACTCAAATAATAGTGAATAGAGTTTTTTTTTCTTTTTTATCTCTCCTTTTATTCAATATTTGATTAAAAAAACAAGAAAAAAGGAAAAAGAAAATTAATAAAATCCTCATTTTTTCACAATATATATAACTAAATAGAATCCAAATATCTTTATTGACACAAGTGTTCTATATTAAGGGAAAAAATGTATATATATATATATAGTATATGTATGTATATATATGTGTATGTATGTATATGTATATATATGTATATAACTAAAAAAATTGACACACAAGTGTTTTATATTAAAAAAATTTAAAATATTCGAGATAATTTAGATAAAATAGATTGTGTTGTCATGAATCTTTGAAATGAGAATAATGACATCTGATGATATGAAGTAAAACAATTTTTTTGAGAAATAAAAT